TTATACATGTGTGTCCTATTTATTTCACTTAAGAGTATCGCCTCAATGTGCATCCACTTAGCTATAAATGTCTCTAATTTCTCATTTTTTCCAATACCCAATTTCATCCTTCACAAGTTCTACTCTCCACAGAACACCAGAACACAAGCACAATTTAGCAAAGTTCTTTGCCACTTTATATCAAGGGGGCTTTTTCTCCATTGTCTAACAACACGTTCTTATTTTCATCTGAGACCTTTATCGTCTATATTTCTACCATTTTGATCATGACCAGTTAGATATCTCTAAAAAGATTGAAATTTTTTCTACAGTTCTTGTTTTATGAGTCCTAACCATAATAATTATATAAAATAATAAGATGCGGTAGAGTTTCTATCTCCCAGACTGTCAAAAATTTTAAAAAGTGACAATATCAAATACTGGGAAGGACAGGAAAAGAGTGGTCTCAACAACTCTTGGTGGAAGTATGCATTGGATTAACTTTTTAGGAAGGTAATGATCAAAATATATAACCTTTTACCCTATAATGACACTTTCTTGGTATCTATTTTAGAGAAATACTTGCATATGTACACAAAAAGGAAGAGATTTACTGAAACATTGTACAAGTAAATATCTGCAAATGACTTTACACATCAGTTAGAGAATCTTTAAATAAACAATTGCACATTTATACTACATACTATTACAAAACAATTAGTAAGAATGAGGAAATTCTGCATTCACTGACCTGGAAAATTTCTAAGGGATAGTATTAAGTGAAAAAGCAAGTGAAACAACATATTCAGTGTGACACCATTCATATAAACAAGAAGAAAAAAACTGAAAGGGCTAATCTGTCTGTACTTCTAAATGAACGTAAAAAATTAGAAAAATATTTGGAAGATATATAACAGAATCTTGATAACCTCTGAAATTGATGATAGTTGTCAAAACAAACTTGTTTTTTGACTTTGTAAAAATAAGACTATGTTTATATATTGATTATACCACTGAACGCTTAATAATGAATTGGGAATGTGGGGTATGATTCCATCTCTATTCTACACTTATTTTAATTCCTTTCTTTCAATCGCCCTGGAATCCTCACCAATCGGGTGTTCAGGCCCACAATTACGTGGAAGCAGGTCCTGTCAACACTACCAATGACCTGCAAATACTGCTGAAACAAGTTTTCAGTCCTCATCTTCCTGACCCTAAGTACCATTTGACCCAGTTATCATTCTTCTCCTTGAGACACTTTCTTGGCATCCAGGAGAGTTTACCAGATTTTCTTCTATATCAAGGATCCTTTTTATCACTCTCCATCTTGTGTGTGCAAGTTCACAAAAGAATGCCCTGGGCTCAAGGATTAATATGTTAGATGGTGTCACTCCTCTGCACAAATCCTCCAGGGACTTCCCACTTCTCTACCAGTGAAAGAGATTCAGTGCTCATTATCTCTTTGGCCTTATCCCCTAGGATTCTCCTCCTTGCTTACTCCACGGCAGCAATACAGGCCTCACTGATCCCTTTGTCTGACGCTCTTCCTTCACAGGTTGTCATGGCTCATTCTCTTTCCTTCAGCTTTTTGCTCAAATATCTCAGCTTCTCAGTAAAGACTTCTCTGAGGCATTCTGTGCAAGCTCCCAGCCCTCCCTCCATGATGCTTTCCATTTCCTCTATTTTTATCTTGAGTATTTACATCATCTACTGCATTACCTACTTGCATATTTATTTTGTGAATTATTCCTCTCACTGTCACCTCCAACTCCCACACTTTGATGCAAGATCAAGGAGAAAGGGGATTACATTGTTCTGTTTACGTTTAGTTCACTAGGACAGAGGTTAGATAGGTACTTTGGATGACAGGTGCCCAAAAGCATGTGATGAATAAATGATGTACTATACAACTTGAATATAAATGTTGAAAAGCAAAGCTATTTATAATGATTACTTCTGAGAAATATATGAGAATATGTTAAAATTTTAGGTTTTACATTTTTGTATTTACTAATGGTTTGATATTTTTAGAACCAGGTACATATGTCACTTCTATAATAAAAAAATATCAAAACCTAATGCACATTATTTCTTGGTGGACATAAAAGTTACCATTTATTGAATATTAGGAGTTTACTTAATCTCACTTTGATCATCATAGCAACCCAGTGAAAATTTTATTATTCCTAAGAGATGAACAGTCTGACTCAATGAGGTTGGGTAATTTACCCAATATCACAATGTTATTTTGTGTAGCAACTAAGATTCAAAGCTAACTCAACTGTTCCTCCATTCTTGGGATATTTCCAATATGTGCCCCCCCCCCCCCCCCCGCCGAAAAGCTAGGAAATCAAACTACTCACTTCGGCTCTTTTTATCAGACAATTCTTGAGGCCAACTTTCTTCTGTTTGTACTGACATTGGAATTCCTGGATACAAATTTTTATACATAGTTCTGAAATTTAAATAAAATGTTAGTTTTAATTATACTTACATGGTTGTTAGCAAGTCTACTAAATACAGTAATTTAATAATCAAATAACAAATACACATAGATGAACCTCATTCTATTTTTCTTGAAATGTTTTCTTCTAGTCCTAACTTTTCAATAAATTTAGACACAGGATGTATATCAAGTCTGTATTTTGGAAAGTCTTCCTTCCTAAATCCTAGAGGTTTCTAATATCATATTGTTTTCTCAGGGATTTCCTACCACTCTATCTATAATTGTTGGTGGTAGTGACGTGTTTACTTGAATTTAAATTGGCATGAATTGTTTGTTTCCTTTTTTTGTTGTTGTTGTTCATTTCCAATAGCTTCAAAACAATCCAACTCGTTTTAAAGGGCTGACAAATTAAATTCATAATATTTAAACAATTTGTATTCTTTTTTGAGTAGTTTAATCATTTATTTGTTATCACTGATATGATAGGAAGGCAGGAATTTGACTTTTACTAGTTTAAATATCTCTTATTGGAAATGAGTAAACAATATTGCTTTTCAATAATTGTATCTTTTAAATTTATCAAATAATATTTTTTCAAACAATTTAGTCACTTTTAGTATTGTCACTTTTTCACATTTGTCAGTTCTTTCATATCTCTATCTGCCTTCTTTTTTGGTGCTTTGTTGCATGGCACATTGCATCAGTGAAGTGTTTTGTTTTTCAATTCTGAAATGACTGTGTCCTGTAATAGGCAAAGGACTCTGCAGAAGCCACCTGTGCATCTCCCTGAGGAAGTCTTGTTTATCTAACCTCCCAGAGAAACAAGCTATAGGGACTCTGAGTAAAGCAACATTAAAGAGAATCCCCAGACAACATTTAATATGTGTTTTTTTCAGTTCAGTAGTTAAAAATTTAATACCTCATTCCTTATTCATTTTGCTTTCCTTAGCCTAACACCAAAGATTGTTTCTGGAATTCTATATAAAAATAGTAGACAGAGGGAGGATTATAACAAAATTAACATTGCTGAGAACGCATTACTCAGTAGTGGGGAGTTGCTTTTACTCACCATTGGTCCACTTATCTTTACAAAAGCCAAGCAAAGTGGGTATTCATGTTTTGTTTTTGCATGCAAAGAAACTGAGGCTCATGGAGATTAGGGAACTTCTAAATCATCACTAGAGTCTTCTCTCTGGCTCTAAAACCTGTATCTCCACTTTCATCTACCTTCTAAAATTTGTCCTATTTTCAACCAGAATAGTTGAATGAAGGTAATTAAATACAGAAATTGAACAAACACTGGTTGCATTTTTAGGACATGTTCCTTTAAAAAACATTCATAAGGTGTACTTTGAAATATCTAAATCTGTATCTATACAAATTAAGAATTTGATCTAGGAAAGAGAGATTTTCATGGACTGAAATTGTGTAATAGCAATTCCAGGTCAAGATTGCAGCTGTGTACACAATTCCCTCCCCTCGTCTCCCCTTTCTTCACCTTTCCTTTCCAAGATATTACTGAAGTAAGAGGCACTTTAAACAATCAGCACTGGAAAACAAGTTGGTGGACAAACACTACTGAAGAGGTCCTTAAAAGAAAGAACGTACATGGCTATAGGTTGAGGGAAAGCCAGAGCAGAGCACTACAACTCAAGGCAAGAGAAGGTGTTTTTGAAAAGGAATTTAGCTCCTGAGAAACTTCTTCAGTGGTGACAAACCGGTTGCACGGGTGCCACAACCAGCTGTTTGTTATCACTGAAAGCTCTAGAAGGTTTGCCATCATTGGTCTAGGTCAACTCAAGCAAACACAGAAAGGCAGGATCTGGCAACTGTCATCAGAGTAGTCCAAGGAGTGAACTTGGCACAGCTGGCCAGGCAGGTCCCTTCCTCTCCCTTTCTATGGGACAGACGGCAGCAGTTTTAATATCCAAAGGTCCAAAGAACAGCTAAAAACTGTGGGCAACCTGCTCAGAGATGTTTCAGTCCCGAGAGAGAAGCAGAGTGGGGAATGAGATTATTCTGGACTTGTCCAACAGGTTTTGGAGAAAAAGGAAGAAGAGATACTCCATTCACAGCAAAGTGTCCTGTTCCTAACTCCAGAAATAGTCCAGTTACCTAGCTTAACTGCTTCCTGCCCACAGGAGGTCAGCTCACTTATATCCACCCACAGTACAAGGTCCTGTGTAAACCTTGCAAATTCTTAAGCACTCAGCTGCAGGAGGGTTCTACTGTAGGTATCAGTCATTCATTTAGGCATATAAATGAGTAACTAAGGATTGCCAGGTGATTGAGGATAATCAGTAACACAAAAAAGAACAGAGCAAGATAAATGGAATAAACACTGGCCATAAGAAATAACAAGGAATACATATAACAAAGGAGAACTTTAATATAATAGTGTTATCAGCAAGATTAAAAAACAACAAACTGGGCCCAAGTTTTGGCTCAGTGGTACCACACCTGCCTCGCAAGCACAAGGCCCTGAATTCTATCCCTGGTACCACAAAAACAAAAAAGCACAAACAAAACCAATTTTATTTTATTTTTTTCCGTATGTAAAAAATTAACCTCAAACCTTTATTTCCATACATAAAAATAACCCAAAAAACTATTTTAAATAGAAACAATCATGGACCTACTGGTTATTTTGGTTTTTTAATCCCAAAATTAAAAAAAAAATTCAGTACAAGGACTGTATAATAATATGAACACATCAAAAATCTTGAAGACACTGAAAATATGAAGCAAACAAAAATGAAAGATGGAGAGTCTATTCCACAGGCCCAACAGTCTCTAGCAGGCATTTTGAAGGGAGGATGATAAAAAATGGGGGAGGGAATAATCAAGTAGCAGAAGGGTTTGAAAATCAGAATGATCAGCAATACTGGATACTAGCAGGCAATAAAGCACTGTTTTCAAAGCTCTGAGCGAAAATGGTTTTAAACTCATTCTTTTATGCTAGATTATCAATAATAAATAAAGTATAGAGGCAAAATGAAGAAATTTCCAGGCAGACAAGCAATCAGAAATTTGACTACCCACAAGAGAGATTTACATGAAAAAAAAAAATCACTTGAGGAATCTCTCCACCAAAGGGAAAAGGAATAAAAGAAAAGTGAGAATCAAGGAAACATGGCCTTTTAAGTCTAATTCAGAAAGAGCGAAGACAATGGAAAATAACTGAGTTGAAAATTTCACTTTTTAGGTGGTAACTTTTATAGACATGGAATTCTTTTCTTTTTTTTTTTCCTTTTTTTTTTTTTTGGTACTGGGGATCGAACTCAGGTCCTTGTGCTTGCACAGCAGGTGGTGAAACCACTGAGCTAAATCCCCGGCCCTGGAATTATTTTCTTATCCCTGGATCTAATCACAATGGGTTTTTTCACATAAAATTATACGTATTGTGTATTGGTTTTTAATTTTTTCAACTCAATGTGTACCTGAAGGAATAAAGGTTAATTATAATCAATAAAACAATAAAACTTTGCAAAGTACTATAATTTCATATGAATGTATATTTTAATATAACTTGTTCTATATAGTTTATTGTTAGAAAACAGGTTAGAGAAGTGGAAAGAAGTGCATTAATTTGTTAATGTTTTATAATAGAATCCAATGTATACTTTCTAAAATTGATAAATCAAGAAAAAAAAGGGTTTAAATACTTTTTTTTTCTTTTTTGGTACAGGGGATTGGACTCCCATCCTTGCACTTGCAGAGGAGATGGCGAAACTACTGAGCTAAATCCCCAGCCCAGGTTCAAATACTTTAAAGTCTGAAATGCTGGAAAAACTAAAAATAATATAACTACCCAAAACAGAGAGGTGAGAAGTCAATAGTTATGTCAGAAAAAGATAAATCAAGGAATGAAAATGTTATTTAAAATTAAATGGAAACAAAACTGAGACTGTTAACAGTGTATTAACTCTGGAAAAGAGAGTAAATTTCTCAATTGTATATCTTTGCATATTTTAAACATACATATATTATCTTTTACAAAATAGTTGAATTAAAAGTAAAAGGAAAAACATGTAAATGGCAGAGAACAACTTCCCTCATGGTCAAGAATATGCAAGTTGTGCAGCCAATATCATACTAAATGGTCAAAAACTGAAATCCTTCACACTAAAATCAGGAACAAGACAAGGATGTCCACTATCACCACTCCTGTTCAATATAGTTGGAAACATTACCCATGGCAATTAGACAACAGAAAGAAATAAAAGGAATAAAGACAGGAAACGAAGAAGTCAAATTGTCATTATTTGCAGATGACATGATACTCTATATAGAAGACCCCAAGAACTCCACCAAAAGTCTTCAAGACTTAATAACCAAATTCAGTAGAGTAGCTGGATAGAAGTAGCTGGATACTCCACCAAAAATCTTCTAGACTTAATAACCAAATTCAATAAAGTAGCTGGATACAAGGTCAACACACAAAAATCAATAACTTTCCTCTACAGGAACAACAAACTCACTGAGAGAGAAACAGGGCAAACAATTCCTTTCACAATAGCATCCAAAAAACTGAAATACCTAGGAATCAACCTAACAAAATAAATCAAAGACCTCTTCTCTGAAAACTAT